TATAGTTGTTTAAATCATGATATTAAAAAATATGAACAATTACTTAAATAGCTAAATGACTGTTAACAGGCTTAATACATTCTAATAATATTCACTTGATCATTTTTTGCATAGATAGTATCTATTTTGTATATTTAATGTTGAAAAATTTGTTTTATGCATGATTTTATTTTTGCAGGAAAATTGATATTTGTTACATTTGTAAGGAAGAAGGGACAGTGATAACTTGTGATGATTGTTTGAAAAATTACCATTTAGCCTGTCTTAATCCACCAAAGCGTGCGCCGCCTAAACGAAATTGGACATGCTTCAGTTGTCGACAAACATCTTGTAAAGGTACTAATTGCATTAATATTGTTTTGAATTATTAACTGTGGTTAATATTATGATGAATACCTTATATTACTATCTTGATACTTTTAAAAACATATTTATGTCATTGCATATAATATACGCATATATTTCAATGTTGGGGAATAACATTTGGAGAATGTTGTTTTGATACTTTACATCTAATAGAATTGTTACTAATATCTCGGAGTACTTGCTTTTTAAAGATATAGTTCTTACTATAATTTAATAATGTATTTGAATGTTATTTTAAAACAAGGATGAATACATTTCATAAATACTTAATCAACACTTTTATATTAATAAAATAGTTATATTCACATTTTGTTGAGATATCATATTATACAAACTGTCAACTCCCATTAATTATTATCAATCAAGAGTGGAGTTGTTGAGTGTGAGATAGAAGTACCAATGCGCAATGTTGCTTAATCACGGGCAGTGAGTTTCTCATTCTAGACTAAGTAGACTGACAAAGATAGTTTCATATATACATTTAATCCTTGGCATTTAAGGAACCTTTATTGGGAGACGGAGTGGTTGAGTGGACTAAGGTGCAACTTGCACTGTTGCCTGTTTGAACCTCGGTCACAGGCCGATGAATTGTTAAGAGTCGATAGATTTCCAAATGTTTTATTTATGGATGACTGTTGATTAATTTTAATTCGTTTTGGTGATAAAATAAACCAACTATTTCCTGGTCCTATTTCAATCTGTTAAATATTATTTACAGATGAATTGGAACAGGTTGAGGTGGAAAGGTATAGCAGGCGTAAGAGTTCGCAGGCTGCCACTGCCAAAATATCTGAATTTGCCCGACAACTATTACATGCATCAGCCAGATGTTATGGTCTGTCTCTGATGTCATATTATCTAATTTTCAGTGTTAATTAAAAATATATTAATGATAACTATTATCCGTCGCAGATCCAGGCTGTATTCTTAAAATGCTCGTTTTAATTTTCTAATACAATCTATGTGTCTATAATTAATTATACTGTACATTAGGTTGATGAAAAAAATTATAAATGAAAAAGATGCTAAATAATTTCTTACTATAAAAATTTAAAATATATATTCAAACAAGACATGTATAATAGACTTAAAAATTTGTATTCAATTAATTTTTTTACACCTGGATCTGTATTATATAATACAATCTTAATAATTCTATTGCATGTAAATAGTTTTATTTAAATATTTTAAATAGCTTGATATTACTTATATCTGTTTATACTTGATGGTTCGTTTTTGTAGGTAAATAGTTGTTGATGATAGTGTGTTTTATGTTTTATATTATGCTTTGTTAAAAAAGAAAAACTGTATGTAATATTTTTTAATATATTACACATATTCATATACAATATATTACATAAAATATAGCATGGTTAGAAATTATTTGGTAAATTGATATTGTTATTGGCATTATTTTGGTTATCCTTGGCTTAATTGCATTAGGACATGTTCATACAGTTTAATGTTTATAAATTATTATACATTTTGCATGATTACTTGTTTTAAATATCTAAATAGTAAATATCACAATTGTTTTATTATTATTTTAGGGGAAGAAGAAAATATTACTGAAGAAAAAAGTCGAAGAAGAGGTAGACATACTGAACAAACAACCTTAACTACATCTGAAGATCTGCCTTTAGATAATGCTCTTCTTCAGTTACTTTTAAACCAAGTTATGCATCATCCAGATGCATGGCCATTTTTAAGGCCTGTTACTAAGTCTCAGTGTCCTGATTATCATACAATAATAAAAACTCCCATGGATTTGGGCACCGTAAAGTATAAACTTAATATGCTATCATATGGAACAAATGCAGATTTGTTAAGTGATATGGAGTTGATATTTGAAAATTGTTTTTATTACAATTCAGAAAATTCTGAAGTCTTCAAGTTAGTAATTAATACAATATTATACTCTTGAAATAGTTAATAAATGCAAGTACATTATATTTTATTAGATGCGGGGAACAAGTATACAATTACTACAAAAAATTATGTCAAGAATGCAATTTGAAAGATTTCAGTGAAGATGGTGTATATGATGGTCCTCCGCTAAAGAAATCAAAACACAGCTTATAAATTTAATGTTTGACTAAATGTTAGAATTTAAATTAGGTTTCAATACATAATCAATAATTTTACTCATCATGTCACTTACTGATAATTGTCACGGTGGTCTTGTTAAATTATTCATTACATCTTCCCCTTACATTTTCTAAATATTATTGAGTAGTTTATTTGCCAGCAGTCTGATTCATATATGAGTCATTTTTAAATCGGTTTAATATATAGTTCTTAAGAACTATATAGATATTAGTTAGATTAAGTATAGTTTAAATTAAATTAGTTAGAATTATTTTTTCTACTTGACATTGATGCTTTCCCCCAACACGCAAATGACAAAAAGTGTATTGTGATCCATTCTATTATTACTAATAATAGATTATACTTGCTGTATATTGAAGCTAACATTCATTTAGACTATGTAACTGTTTTTAAGATCATTGTTGTATTTCCTTATTATATATTGTGATTTTTTTAAAAAAAATTTTTTATTCATACAAAATTCAATCGATTACATTAAACTTAGGCATTTCGTAAGTCAATGACTTATGTGAACAGCACATCATTATTCTATTTTATTTTCAGTTATATGAATAGTGTTTTTATAGATAATAATATTAATTTTAGTAGATATTTTTTACTCAGTACAATTGCAGTTTATTTTTATGGTTTATCTATGAATATTTTTTTTAATTTATCATGTATATTGATCCTCGGCTCAACTTTTATTTTATTCTCTGTAATATAATATAATGAGTTTCTTTTACGACATAGTGCTGAGTGCTATGTTTTGTCAATAATTATAATTAAAATAATAAAAAAAAAACAAATTTCAATGTAATTATGCGTTTATGTATTAGATAAACTTAGCCTATCTTTATTTTCTATTTTATTTAAAGTATTTTAATTTTAATTTGTGTAATTCAATTCCTATTTTCGTATTTTTTACTTAATATTAGTATTTTAATTTCATTTTTTTTAAGTTAAATATTAGTATACATTAAATTTTTTTAAGAAAAGATGTTGTTTTATTTTGTTATTTTAAATTATATTTAAGAATTTCAGCAATTTCCAGAAATCTTAAATGGGTCATGGTTTAATGGTTAAAATAATGAAAAAAATATTATAAAATAATATTACTTCACTGTCTGTCTGGTATGTGTTGTAAAATTGTATAATGATTTAACAACAGCTATTTTAGCTTTCTCAACATTGAAAAACACACATAAATATATATTTTTTTTTAATATTTTAAATCACTTGTTTGATTATAAACAAAAATATAGGGTGATTTAGAAATGTGTTTGAACTTGGTAAACAAAACGTCAAGAACTGTCAATCATGGGGTTTTTCTTAGTCAATAATAAATATGAATTGAATAACAATATATAATATTAATACCCTGTGATTGAAAATATAAATAAACTCAAAAGAACTGGGTATTAGTGTATTTTGTAGGTATAACTTACATAAAAATCTATTATTTTGCTAACATTGTCAAATTAATTTTAATTTTTGCTTTTATTACCTTTTCAATTAGATACTTGTATGAATTATTTATCAATTTAACAAATATAAATAAAGACAAAATGAAAAAAAGAGAAAGTATGCAATTTTGCTGTTAGTAGGTGCTGAGCTTAGATTATGTACTAGTATGAGTATAGCTTGCCAATGATTAATTTGAATTCAATGATAATTTCTTTTAAGCCCCCTAGGAGTTCCGGCAGCATCGTTACCACAAAAAACATTGGCTGGGCTATGCCTCCCCCTAAATATTATATCTAACCCCCTTGACATAAGCCTATGTTTATTCGTATCTTGTATACAACTGTTGTTTGATTTTATATAGGGAAATAAGGTATTTGGATTTGATTGGTTTTTGCTTATTTTATTTCCTACTATCCGATTTCACCTGGGAAAAATAATTTTTAAAATTTTTTTTTACTGGACATGGTTCAACTAATTTATTCCTTTTTTTGTGTAAACATTTTTTATTGTGCTAATCTATTCTAAAATACCTTTTCATCATGATTTCAGATATAACTGTATTGTAAGTGTATATTAATCATGCTTTTCATTAAAATATTATCTATTTGTCTTCTAATGTGTATACTGGTGGAGCCAATGGTATGACAAAGAAAATACCCATACTATACGAGTACAATATAACATATACATATAGATATCATTATTATTAATATTTTTTTTTTGGCTTCATGTCATGTATTCCTTTTATCGGTTTCACATTACCTCTCGTCCTCTCCAACGGTCCAGAGAATTTAAATTGTCGTAGTTCCCAAGTTTTCCAAATCGTTCGCTCTATCAAGCCGTCACTGATGAGGCCTATCTCTTGACTCTTTCCGCTGGGTATATTAATTAATACCTTATGTATTACTATATCCCATATTACTTTGTTCACCATACATGCTCGGCTAACTAGTATTTTAGCTTTCATTTTTGTAGGTTTGGTCTATCGAACTCAATTTAAATTGTAAAATAAAGTTATTTAAATTTATGCGGGAAATGTTGGTACATTGTCATATCTTATCTCGTGTCTTGTAGCACTATCAATTTTACGACCAATCAGTGAGGAGGACGTGAAAATATCTTTAGCCATGGTGATTGTGTGAAAATACTATATAGCCATTATCCACTGTGTTTCACTTCTGTCGCCCTTCGAGACTGTTCCCCCAACAGAGGTCAATATATTTTCTGCTGCCTGCAAGAAAAAATAAATCACGGTGAGTAATTGTTTGAATTTACATTGTATTACTAAGAAAGTACACCTCTGATTTTCTTAAAAATGTGATAAACCCTGACTGCGATGTATTATTTAACTACTGGCGGTGGTATATTCTGTATACCTCGGTGACTCGGCAGCTCGTTTCTGTCATATCTATTGACCATCAAATATCGTTCCGCAACGACGTGTACCTCAGTATATGTATTCTAATATCATTACATACTGTACTTCCAATAAAATGTGCTTTACCAGCATAATCAAATCTTGGCCTTTTCATTGGCTATTGTCAAACTAAATCCCGAGGATCATTTTGGTTTTCAACACTCCTGGTTGTTCCACCTTTCCTCCCTTGAATGTAGTGTCAATATGTTAAACTTATGTAATTATTTCACTTTCATTTAAATTACATATTTTTAGTATTGTCTATGTACCTAACCTAGCCAGAATTATTTGATTACCTCAATACTTGATTCCAAATAAGAATAAACCGTCTAGTAACGGAAAGATATCAACAGTGTTGGACCCTCTTTGCAGTTTTGAATAATTCCACTTAGTCATAAGAGTGTGGCCAAACCAAGATCAGTTTTTGTCCGCCACTAGATTTATTCCTGTATGGAATAGAGTACAAGTCTCTGTGGCGGCTCGTGTATATGTGCATTACCCACCAAAACAAAGAAAAATTGAATATATAAATCATAATAATACAACTAAATACCTGTAATGTTATTAAGATTACGTTTCAAAATATAAATATAAAAATGTAGAATAAAAGAAACGGGCAGCAGTTGTTCGGACCAGAATGGTATCGGTATGTATAGTAGTGCACATTTGTTCAGTGTAAAAATTAAAGCAAGTCAAAACACTCACGCCGCGTTATAATGGAATTGCACATTTGTTTCTGTGTGAATGATTTTTGAAAGTGCTGTCGCGTGTCAGCATTATAATTTATTTTTACTCTCACTCATTTATTATATTCCGATTGATTATCAGCTGATAATGTTTGTAATTAATTGTTTAATACAATCTACTATAATATTGGTTCCTTTTTTTTTGATGTGCTCTACTTCATTGAAAACCTACGAGCCTCCACCGATAAGTCTGCATTATAAATTTCAGTTTTTTTTATTTTCACTATTGATGATGTTATATTATTTGTCTTGTTACTTGATCACATTATTTTTGTAATGTTAAGTTAATTCAGCATTTCAGTGAGCTTAGAAGTTAGATTTACTGATTTCAATATTTAGTATATCAACATAGCTATCCTATTATAATTTTATTAACTACTTTTAGATGGCTGATGAGAAGTTAAGCCGCAAGATGATTTTCCCATACACATACACATCTAAAGTTGCCCAGTTTCCATTCAAACTACATTTCAACAATCATTGGATGTTTCCATGGTTTATTGGAGCAGCTGTAATGGTTTCACCTGTATTTTATCTGATTCAGAAAGCCGGTAATTTTATATTTTATAACGTTGTAGTAAATACAAATATTTGAGACAAATTAAATTATATTTTAGCTAACTGTGAAGCTAATGTAAAGATTTGGGCTGAGAAAAGGAGGAAGGAAGAAGAACACCACAAACACAAGTGGGATTAAACAAGAATCTAAGAAGCTGCGTAGAAAAAAAAAACAATACAACTTACTCAAAATTAAAATTTTTATTTCTAATAGCGTTACTGCGAGTTTTATAAACATATTTAAAGTAATTATAATGTAATATACATCATAGTTCAAGTTATTTTTATTATTATTTTATAATTCCTTGACTTTAGTCCATTTTTCACTAACTTTCCATAACCATTCAACTGTCTTTTGATCTCTTGCTCGATATGGCATTGGTATTATTTTAAAATTACTAAAAGGAACACATAATAATATTATTATATAGTTACTTGACACAATTTAAAAATAATACATTTGCTTACAAAATAAATTCTAACAAAACAATAGTTGTATTTTGGTTATTTGATAAACATTATAATTGTGATTTTAAAATTTAAAAAGTAAGATAAAAATTACCTGATGAATTGTCCGCTAATGTTTTCAAGTTCTGGCTCTAAAGCTGCATGAACCAACGTCTGCGATCCTTTAGCTGGTGATTTCAAAAACAGCCATGCCATTGGTTTTATGAAAAATCTAGTTACACTATTGTAAAAAGGTAAATGTCTTGAAATATCTGTTGTACAGATACCAGGATAGATGGCATTTACTGTAACTCCAGTATCTGTAAATTGAATAAAAATATGTTACAATTATTATGGTGTGCTTATAACTAAAATAATTATTTTACAATAAAAACCTAATTCATATATTATAATGTTAATATGAATTAATATTTAATACTGCATTCAAAATAAGTGTTTATGATTAATTCACAAACCTTTTAGTACTTCAGCTAGTTTAGATGTAAACATAAGATTTGCAAGTTTACTTTGGTTGTATGCCTCTTCTTCACTGTATGACATATCAGAGTTTAAATCTTGTTTGTTAATTTTACTAGATCCATGTTTCAGTGTTGTCACATTAACTATTCGGCTGGGAGCGCTTTTTTTCAAACAGTCTAAAAGTAAATTGGTTAACAAGAAATGGCCCATATGATTGACACCCAAATGAGTTTCAATTCCTTCTTTGGTTGAGGATTTACTGCACCTCATAACCCCAGCATTGTTGATCAAAACATCCAATCTATTAAATTCTAATTTGAAAGTTATAATTTAATGATTTTCAGGGCATAGAAATATTTAGATGTAAATTCAAACCTTTCTGGAATTTTTTTGCAAATTCTCTGATTGATTCTTGTGATGATAAATCACATTTTCGACAATATAGTCGTTTGTTTCTAGACATAAGTGCTAGCTCAACTCGACTCTGTTCTAAGGACATTAATCAATTAAAAAAATATATACATAGCTATTTAAAGTATACCTAAGTAAATTAGTAACTTATTATAATTAATGTAAATGCTGAACTTATTTAACACCATGACAAATAGAATTAGTAATTTTAAACTAAGAAAAAAGTTAAAGCACACGTTCAAGAGAATTAATGTAAGTTTGACAAATTTGATAAAACTTTATCATGTTTTAGTGGTTGTACATTAAATGTTGGAATTAACCTTTTCACATTTTTCCATATCCCGACATGCCATCACGACTGTTGCATTCTTAATAGCCAACAACCTAGCAGCTTCTTTACCAAGGCCAGTATTCGCACCCGTAATTATGATCACTTTGTTGGCAGCTGAAGTCTTGATTTTGTAATCTTTTCCAGACAACATGTCCCTAAAATAAATAAAATAAATAATAACAGTGTGCGGTCAATCACTTAACAGATAGCAAGACCTGGGCGTAAAGCGATGCCCTAGAGGTAAAAAAATAACATACTTGATTAAATAAGCACCACCGCATACTGTACCGAAGACACTGACATAGATCAAAGGTTTAGGTATTTTGATCATATTGAGTTAGATATATGAGGTCCCGATGAAGTAAATCTACAATTCAAAAACAATAACTATAGGTAAGGTTAGATTTGAACATAAAGTTAAATTTAAAAATTGTTTTATACTGTGGTAAAATCTATTTTTTTTATAGTATACTATATAATTTACTAATATTATATAGGTAATATTGTCTAGTAGTTTATCGGATGCGGCGTATTGGATTTGTGATAAGAAAAAAAGGTAAAAACAGTTCCGTGATGAATTTGAAGACCACTGTGACCAACACAACGGAGCGACTGAGCTCACGCAGCTGTACCTGGCCGACCGTACTCTTCAAATTACCTCTAATTTTTTTACAAATCAATAAAAACATTAAAAATGAACCGTTTGCAATGCCCTTAAATTTAGTTATAACAAATAATCAAGATGGTTGTTTAAAATGTAATACTCTGTCCATTGGTGTTAAGTATATTTTATAATATAGGTACAGACAGATCACTGATGAGTCATCCTATTGTTAATATTGGAAGCGTTAAATTGCATTCAACCGCTTCCATTATTCTGTCACGGTCTTAGGAGTTAAAGTCGGGACACTTCCCTAGTTCCCTGTTTAACAATGATAACCAATTCGGTCGCCCAGAGAGGACATTTTAGTTGAGCTTTTCGCCTCTATTTTGTTGAACTCCTCGAACCAAGGCCGGATTAAGAACATATTGGGCCCCGGGGCTGAAATTTAATTTGGGCCCTTTTGACAAAACATTCTATACAAAGCCGATCCCTTCGCTCGCAGGAGGTTACATATTTATATATTTATAACTATTTCACGAACTTACAATTTTTTTTTTTTTTTTTTTTATAGCATTATAGGCCATTTAGGCCCTTTGCTGCCAATATCAAATTCTTCCACTCTTCTCTATTATATGCATGCATTAGGTCTCCATGCCAATCTGGTCTTAACTCCTGGATATCTCTTTTGACTGCATCTATCCAACGCTGCTTCGGTCTGCCGCGAGGTCTTTTCCTGTTTAAGTTGTTTACAATTACCTTCTTGACAATACTATTATCCGCTCTCCAAACGTGACCAGCCCACTCCATCCTAGTGCCTTTTACAAATTGTACTATATTTCCTTTTCCATATAATTGTTGTATTTGTTCGTTTGACCTTCTCTCCCACACTTGGGTATCAGGATTATATACGGGACCATAGATTTTTCTTAACACCTTCCTTTCAAATATATTAAGTTTATTCTCATCTCCTGCTGTTGTAGCCCAAGTACAGCATGCATAAGTCACAACTGGTCTGAGGTACGATAGTAATTATGATAATTAGTTACGTTCTAATTTCCCTTTGTAATATTTAAATATTTTCATTCATTGTTATGTTTATACAATATCGAATACCTCGGTAGTTAGTAGGAAAAGATCATTGTAAAGCTCACTACCATATATTATATTCAACTAACCATAATCCATAGGTTAACCTTCTTATGACTTATTTAACCCTCTGTTAGACGCGAGGGGAAGGCAGTGGCGTAGCCAGGACAATAAAATGGGAAGGGGCAGGGTTAAAATACCCAAAACCCCTCGTGGATGACTGGCTGTATAATCTATGATCATGTTATCTAGTATCTATACTCGATGTCACGATGGTAATTATTGTCTATTAGTAAGTTGGTAAATAGTAAAATATTTAAATATAGATAGTTGGAACAGAAGCTCTATCAAAATAAAGAATTAAATAAGCACTAAAATGTCCTCTGTTTGTGGACACAATAATGAACAATTGCCTTGACCTTATCTTCTAAAGCAGCGGTTCCCAAACTTTTTAGCTGTGCCGACCACCAATTTAATAAAAAAATCTTTGAGGCCCACAAATAGCTCACCTATATATACGAATGCAGAAATATATATATATGTATAAACAAACGTCAGTTGTTAGAATTAAAACGAATTACAAAATCAATTGTTTATCACGAAAAACACTTTATTAAACTTAATCACAAGTTAAACAATTTAATGTGATTGTTGACATCGCTTGTCCTTCATGAGAGAATCAATATCCGGATGAAAACTGGATAGTTTTAGAATTAAATCATTTTCAACATTTAGTTTATTCCTATACTTAGAGTTAATTTGACAATAATTTGACACTACAGAGTGTAGATGATATTGATAAATATTATTATAACCAGAAATATTATTGGCCATGTGCTAAAAATATATAAAATTGAATATTATATATTTATATGGTTCACGGCCCAATACCACGCTGCTCCAGGCCCACAAGTGGGCCGCGGCCCATAGGTTGGGAACCGCTGTTCTAATAAAGGCCTTGTTTAAGATCATGATCTCTGCATATTATAAAATCAATGGTTTGGTTAAAAACGATTTCGATTTTAATCATGGTTTTAAGTTCTATTGATGCTACACACTCATTTGTTGTCTCCATAGACCTGCTACTACTATAAAAGCAATGAGTGAAAGCATAACAACATATAGGTCGCTTTTTGAGTACTCGATTATTCGTACGCACGGAAGTGCGTGGTAGCTGCAGGGTAAGATTATTGTAATTTTTTTACAAAGACGGCCTACATTAGTTATTAGTTTAACAATTAAAGAAAATCGACCTGTTGTGAAACTCAGTTAATGGTTAGAACATTTTGTTTGTATGTGCATTTTTTACAATAGTTTTCTGGTGAAAAAAAACAGGCGTCCAGCCGTACACAAAAGTGCAGACCGAACTCGTACAGTGTGCACAAGCTCTACAACAGTGTGTGGGGAGTGGGTCAAACTCTCTGGCAGTGACCTTTAAAAGCCGGTGCACATACAGTCGTTATAAAATGTTATTAACTCTATAGTTCTATACATTACGGTCTTTGTCAATAGCACCCACGATTATAGATAGTATAGTACTATCTATAATCGTGATAGCACAGCAGCAAGACATTCTCATGGACGAATTTTTTCGTCCGGCTCCATAGCGAGTCTAGGACCAACCACGGTTACCATCGGGTCCATTCCTGCATCACCACGGCCACCGCGGGTTTCCATGTCCTGGAAAATTTTTGTATCGTGGTTCGGTGGTTTTGTCGAGTCGTTTTTAGACTGGGCATCACCAAACTACAGTGCTGCCATGTCATGTATCGAATTCAACTGCAGCGTGTCGGTGGACAACCGGTAGCAAAGACAACGAGGAGGATAACAGCGTCTCGATCTCTCTAACTTCTGCGGTGGCAGGCGTCATTTCTTTTTTTTCGACAAATCTGCAGATGGCGAAACGTATAATTCCGTGGATGCAACGGACAGTAATCCTATCTCAGGGGAATAGCCTGCAGTGCGGAGTTTTTTTGGACTACCATATTAAACATCGATTTACATTGACTGTGTTCCTGTAAACTCTCGAGGAAAAAAACCCTTTCACCAGGTAACTTGAATTTTAAAATTATATGTCTAAACTAAAATTTAGATATTTAATAAGAAAAAAAAATGATCAATTTTTACAAACTTTTGTTTCTTAAAATTATTTTTGTTTAAAGCAAAGAAATCAAAAATCGAAGTCCAATGAGCACTGTAGAAAAGCTTACTCTTGTCTCTTTCTAACAAAAACAATCAATTAAATCAGACCATTTTACGTGGCGTGAGACAATTTCCTTGAGCTCTTTTTTGAGTAAAAAATTGACATGTGTGCACATAGCACATGCAATGAGTATACGTATAGATAGTTTGGCACCCTTATACAATGACATTTTCGCTAATCATTGTTTATGACTAGGGTTAGCATGATTATAACCTTTAGAAAATTTGAAAATGCATGCAAATATGCCCAAAAGTTATTAAAATTTGCCCTTAAATATCAAATATGACATTTTAAAATGTTATTAATGTTATTATTAAATAAAAATATACTATAAATTAATAAAAAAAAAAAATACAAATAAACAAACAAACAAATGTGAACTTGTACTTGTAATATATTGTGTAACGTACATTTTTTAGATGACATTTTTACTCCACATACTTACTTTACAGAATAGCACTAAATACTGATATATCTGTTGAAAATACTTCTTCTCCGAACTCTAAAATAACTTTGATCAGTATTGCCAGTATTTTAACTTTTAATTTTGGGAACTTTTACCATACACTATGAAGGTACCTAACTAAAGATTTTAAATCTTTAAGTCACTTTATATGTCAGATAGACATCATCACTCAATCACGATTATTGGTCGTAAAAATATAACTGATAAGTAAGTAGTATAGATAAGGTTATTAAAAACAACACTTTTCAAATTTTCTCGTTTAGGTAAGCTGTGGAACCAACAATGCCTATTCATTCGTTTTATCGTTTATAATGTCTATATAATATTGTTTTTTTTTTAGTTTTTCTGATTTAAAATAGGTACATATATTGAGTTTTTTTTTTTTATCGAAATATGCAATATTTACAATTTTTTTCTTCAAAATATGCATTTATTCATAAAAATCCATTTAATATATGCAAAAAAAATAATGTTTCTGATTCTGTTATACAAAACGAATTTATAACTTGGTCTGCAATGTGCATGACTAAAAGGAAAACGATAAAAGTCATAAACATCTTAACCCTATTTATGACCAACATAAATGCCATTGACGGCGTTGAGGGAATTGCATATTACCTAAATATTGTCCCTTATTAAAGACACACAAGCAGGGCCATTAATACATACATAATTTTCGTCTGGACAACTTGATTATAATACAAACTATGAAAAGCAAAAGATCTTTATACTATAATATTTTATAATTTTTTTAAAATTATGTATAGTATGTATAGTAATATTATATTAAGTTGTAACTGCAGTGTTGTGCATTATTTAGATAAAAATATTCATCTTTTTATCTTATCTAGATAGTTAAAACTGTTATCTGATTATCGACATGCAGATAATTAGATAACATTTTCATTAATTTCACATGATTTTTTCCAAAACTCGCCAAATGCCACAATTAGTTCACAAAGCATCATCCAGACTGCGTAATTGTGAAATGTTAGTAGGTATATTTAAAATCAAGCAAAATAAATTATTTTTAGATTTAATTATTAGCGTTGATTATTATGTTTTTGTTACAATATATTGTCATTAATTCATTACCTAAACGATACAATTAAGAGTCCAGATAATTTAAAATGTTCAATATATTAAATATGCATTAAATATTACTATTTTTTATTCAAATTTATTAATTTAATCCATTTTGTATTTTTATATGAAATAATAAATAATATTAAGTATAAGATCATAATTATGTGTATACATTATAATTTATTTTTATAAGAAATATACAATCTATGTCCAAGGGCATAATAATAATATGTGGTACAAGCAATTAATACTTGAGGTTGAGGGAAGAAACCATCCAGTCATCGCTCTTCCTACATTATAATTTAATTGTTTAAGGATTTAAAAACCAAAATACTGTATAACTGTTTGTTTTTTTATCTAAATAAAAAAGATGTTATATTATCTTTTATCTAGGTACTATTTTATTAAATCACTTGTCATCTTATCTAGATAATTTTAAAATTATGTGTGCACAACACTGGTAATATAATATGATCACAGATTAATATAAATATATTAATATATTTTAATATTAATACAGTTCAATATAATCTGTGATATGATATTGCAGGATATATTTCAATACGTATATGTAACCTCCCTCTCACCGAAACTCATTTCATCAAAACGTACCTTATTTCGTAATCAATATCCAAAGTTGCTAAATAATACTCTTAAGAGAAAATTGCAATCTATAATAATTAATGAATCCAAGTATACAGAGATGGGCTGGGAATAAAAACCAGTCCCGGAGAAACAGAAAATTCAGCCTAAATTTTGGACTGATAATAAAATTCTATTTAATTTTTTTGGCCAAATTTATCCAAGCAGCCCAAATTTTCACAGGCCAGAGCTGTGATTGCCCACCAGCTACCCTAGCCAGTCCACCCCTGAAAAACATCAGTATGTGTAGAACAGACAATATGACTTACTTCACTAATATTTTGAACTACATTTACAAGTACCTACTAATCGTTAACTTAAAAAAAACCCATATAGGTACAGCAATTACATGTTATTATAGTTTAAAGCTAAGTCCAACTCTAACGTTATCGCAGTGAATAAATTAACATAAGTTAAAAGCACAACTGTACAATTTGTCTTTACCTTGGAATACGATTTAAAAATTAAAAACTTTTATTTATAATACTGTAATCTAAATGTTTATTGTACATAGATACTATATACAAAGCACAGCGGTTGGAATAACATTTGGGTTTTTTTTTTTGGTGTACTTACACGCAATCTTTTTGTGAGATGTCCTAGGTTATCTATACTACGTTTTACGTCAAATTTATGTACGTTGGCTGTATTAAATCCAATTTGAATATTACTAATTATATTTAGAAAAATTTTTTTATTTTTTTGACAATCAATATCTCTAAAATACTACAGTGAATTAAGAATAATCCAATTCTCTTTACTTGGTACATACCGACGATTATATTGTTCGGTTTATATTACGTTATGCAAAAGCTCGCTTCAAGCCTACAAACGCTGTAGTGGAGGTTACATAAGATTGTTTTGAAGTTTGAACCACCCTTCATATCTCACCTGAGCGACCCCGATATGAATCACGGAAAACGGGTGAATCAATATCTATTAAAACTGTTGGTATTTGCGACGACTCCACGCATTAATTTAAGCCCACGTGCGATGTAGTTTTGGGGCGTTATTTATTGTGTAATAAACATTTTAATTGTGGTAATAATTCATTCTTCTTTAATTATAATTAAAATAATTCTCGCAATGAGTGTTTGAATTTAAATGATAAATCCCGTTTTGCACGGTCGTTAAACGATTGCGCGCGCGATATAACTGATTTTAAAAGCCATCTACTATACCGGTTGGAATATTCATAGCTGCACTGTAATAACGTTAACAATGTATAACTGTGTCTTATTATATTGTGACAATGACGGTTGCAATGTTTAGTGCGCATAATATACATACTATTGGACTCATGATGCACTGCACCGAAATTCCCTATTAAGTTTTTTTTTTAAAAATAGTAAGAAACGACAAATATCTACGTAGGTTGTATAAATTGCTTTTATATAAAGTATCCCTGAAGGGATTTTGAATGTATTTTATATTGCATGACATGATTCCCCAAACCTATTATTAATGTATCGAAATTCGGTTAAAACATTAAATAATTTTTAAAAAAAACCAGGCAGCTAGCTCTGCTGTATAATAGGTTTCGAGTTTACCTCTTCAGCTTTTTCAGTTGCTACTGTTATATTTAGAATATTTAATTCGAATTCAATGATATACAATAATTTAATCATTGTGTATGAAAAACGACTCAGAGTTGAGGCGGTTATTGAGCCTATATTTCTAAACATATTTTATATTTTGTATTTTTCTTTTAGCTAAATGGAAGATGACACTAATATTTTGAAAATATCATAGTCCATAATTAATAAATAGGTAATAATAATATGCTTACCTAATGGCAAAATGTGTTAAGTCGCCCTATGAGTAATACTTTTGATTTACAATAAAATCACTAAAATACAACTTGTATTTTATTTAAAGTAGAGTTTTTATTAAACAAAAATAAGTTTTGCGCACAAATTCTTATTATTTTGAAAATACATGAAATTTTTTATTTTTTGCCCCCGAAGGGCCTAAAGTTCCAACTTGCTATCAAAAACCACCCTCAAACTGGAAGATTGGAACAGTAAAAATGTTTCGAAAGGTAAGTTATATGCCATAATATATCGTTGCTAGTAGTTGAACATTTTAATAAGTTGTACAAAATTATGTTAATATTATTTTAATAATAAAAGTATTAGATATGCGTTACGTTACAATAACCACAGTGTGTGGATATATACTTGAACTGTCCATTTGATGATGATGCAGATTAAAAAGGGGTTATCAGTGTACGTGAGGAGATTTAAAAAAAGCTTCCTAACAGTCGTCAGGGTTTGACACGTATGTTATTAATTATTATTATTAAAAAGCTTATTTAAAATACAGTAGGTACCTACACAGTTTAACCCGAGATTTGTAGTGAAGATATGATACACCGCAATGATCACTCTGTAACAACTAACAACTAACAGACGCGCTGTGCATATAACATCATATTATTATAATATAGATACACAAAATAGGTTGTCGTATAAATAAATTCGAACACTTACTATGTAGGAGAACAGTTTTAATTGGAAATAATCATTCGGCAGTTTGAATAATGAAGATTAACGATGATAAGCATTTATTACACACAGGGAACACGAGCCGAAAAATAATGACTTCCCATATACATATCTATGAATAGTAGGTTTATGCATAATACATAATATTTCTTAAATGTATATGCTCATCGTCGTCTGTCATCTCAAATAACAATCGTTGTGTTTTCTACTGTGTAGTGTGTTCGTTATTATATAATTAATATAATTAATACATAATATAATATGTATACCTATTATGATTATATGTATATTTATATGTATGTATGTATGTTTACAGTGCACATTCGGGCTCCGTGAAGTTAGGCATGTAACGTGAACATTTTTGTACCAAATTTTATCAAAAATTTGTAAGTTATTTGTAGGTTCATGAAAGCACAAATTGGGAATTTGTAAGTTCAGCCATTTTCAATTATCCACAAAAGCTTAAATCACGGCTAACTTCTGCGAAACTTGGCCGTTTTATCATTTTAAAGTTTTCGACCGAGCCAAAATGTCCAGCGCAATTTGTAAGTATTTGTGAGTAAAATTTAAAACTTGTAGTCATCCCTCCCTTAATTTTCTTTAAATAGAAGTTGGCCGCGATTCATCGAGATTTTTCAACTTTGACTGTGCCAAAATGTCCAGCTCAATTTGTAAGTATTTGTGCTTAATTAAGAGAGGCATGACTTACAAATTTTAAATTTTTTCTTACAAATACTTACAAATTGCACTGGAAATTTTGGCTCGGTCGAAAACCGTGAAATGATAAAACGGCCAAGTTTCGCAGAAGTTAGCCGTGATTTAAGCTTTTGTGGATAATTGAAAACGGCTGAACTTAAAAATTCCCAATTTGTGCTTATATGAACTTACAAGTAACTTACACATTTTTGATAAAATTTGGTACAAAAATATTCACGTTACGTGGCTTACTTCACGGACTTGCACATTTGACTTAAATATTTGCTTATTTGATATAGTTTATAAAAGAATGGGTTTGGCTCTTATGGCTATAGTGATTTCTCGTAATTGACTGGTATTTTACTGATTGTTGGGCGAAGGATTGCTCTGGTAACAGGCATTTATTGGGCATTTCGCTAACGGTTATACCTACCTGTAATAGAGCTCACATAAATTCTAAATTATTTGTCGTATTTAATTCATTTTTTATCTTTTGGGTGATTTAATTTGTTGGGAAAGGATTGTAAGTGCCAGAAAAGCGCTGACTGAGTCGCTTAAAATTGGTGTATTTTTTTCTAATTTACATTTTATCTTTATAGTATATAATATATATTATATATTGGTTATATTATAATTGTATGCATAATAGTATGTGTTTATTTATAATTAATTTGTTTGGAATGTACCGAAATAAATACTTGTTTACGGTAGTAAATATAATCTACATTCTATATATATGTAGGTATATTAGAGTAATTTATTGAGTAATTCTAGTTAATATTGCGTAATATCTTACCATTAATGTGATACCAACAATAAATGTAAATTTAAATAATATTTGTCCCAAAAAACTCGAAATAGTTCTTTTAATGAGGTAACAACCGTTTCAATCTAATTTAAAAAAAAATTTTCCATCACATGTAAATAGTAAACTTCAATTCAAATTTTATTTGATATTATGATTTTGGAAAAATGCAATTTTGAAATCTAAAGCCATTTATTTAAACAATCCCTTATTTATAATTCAAATATTATCTGTGAGTTCTACTTCGATGACTGGTCGACTGTGTGAGCTAATTTCTTACAAACTTGATCCTTATACACAGTTATGTTTTCTGATTTTTAAATTATTTTTATCCAAATTATATTATTTTTATAACAAATGGTCTTTACAATGTTATTAATTTATTACATGAAGTTATTATAAGAAATTTGATAGTAGCACTCCCATTTAAAACCATGCTTTTTATGTGAAACCATTGTATTTTTCTTGTTTAATATGTAGGTAGCTAGTCACTAAGTACTTACAACTAGATGACAGACAAAGTAGGTACACGATTATGGCATGCCATACATGCATGTATAATACATACTTCTATTTTATTACACATGTTTTATGAACCCATTCAATAATTGTTGAATATTTAAATATTATTTTGTACTCCATAACACCATCAAAATGACCATTGAATCAACTTTATTATGACGAGGCTACTCGAATTCATTAAAAAACAAAAAAACACTTGTACAACTATTTTGATGTTTTTATATAATTTTAACTTTATAATACACTTTCACAATATTGCAATGAGGTAAAATTATACATTTTAATTTAATTATATAATATTTGAACCTAATTTTCTAAATATTATCAATTTGTCTCAAATATCGTTTACTTGGCATTGATGTATATTTTTATTTTATATTATAAAATTTATATTGTATAGTGACAACTATACATTATTTATACCTATTTTATATCAGCTACTGTTTTAAGTCTTGCTGGTTTAGTGTGTTTGTATTTAAAGTACAATAGTTTATAAGGCTTTTGTATCTTTTGTCTTTTATTGTGTGTGAGTTTGAAGTTTAACACACACTATACTTGTCTGTGTGTACCTATTTGTGTGAGAACACGATATTTGGTTTTATTGAGTGTATGACTGTACGTTGCAAGTAGAGCAAAAGATTCGTTTAATTAAAAAAGATCTATCCACTAAAGTTCCTCTAATTTTGCCTAGCTTTAACTGTGGAATTATTTAATATTATATTTAAAAAATTTTTGTTTGAACTTGTTTTATGAAATGAATTTATAGATCTTTATTTATACTTCAATGCATTTTGTCTCATATTTATTTACATTTTAAAATTGCATTTCCATGCACTTTTTTAGCATAAACATATTATATTTATATATTTTATGTATTATGCATATTAATATCATGAGCTTACTTAAATAGAGTGTTCCAAATATTATTTTTTAGTGCCTATTCATTTATTATGTACTACCTATTTACATATTTTGTTTTGTAAAACTAAATCAATTAATTTTCTTTATATTTCTAAAAAAAACAATACTTGTAAAATTTCGTACTATTCTTCAGAAGTTGTGAGAAAATTAATACATAGTTAATATTACATAGTGTATTTGAATAAATTATAAATAACTATGATTATGAATTATCTTAAAATCTTGAGATTTAAAAAAAAATATATTTTACAAAACAGTTATTATTTAAATGGTAAATTTGAGTTTATTGTGTATAATGTAATCTGGTTATTGATTTTTAATTAAAGTTAAAAAAATATTTTTTAAATGAATATTCAACATTTGGAATTCATCATAATGTGTTCATACCTATATATTATGTAAACAATAAACGCGATTACTTAAGTTTAGTTTCAGATAATATATATTTTTTATTTAAAATAAACTAAACACATTGCTAGATTTTGCGAAGGTTTGACATCCTAAAAAATTACTAGGAATGAATATTAGAACTTCAATATAAATCCAAATTTCAATGCACCAGAGATTTGCTGATTGGTTTAGCTATATGTTATAGTAGTAATGTAGCATAGGTATACATTTAAAATTTGTGACTATTAATTATTATATATTTTAAACAATTAATACATTGATTAACTTAATAAACAACAAACTTAGGACATTGTTTTCATAGCTCGATTCCCTGTTATATTGCTAGGTAATTATTATTGGGCAAGCACCTTACCATTTTATAGTATCCTTAAAATAAAACCGTGTCTCGAGGGCTTTTGGCAACACTGATTGCGCCTTCGGTGGGTCCTGGCGGCAGCTGCGGCGACCACAGTAGCTTTAGCAGCTTCGAGTCAAGTTGTTGGCACCGCTCATGACTGTGCTTTTTAGTTAGTCCATGCACATTATACCCATCTCTTCTGGCAATTTTCCCAAAAATAGTTATTCTTTAACCATCACTAATAATTTATTTTTTTTTTCAATCAACTTAACACTTTTTATTGGCGCTGTCACGTGTATAATTTTTCTACAATATTAAAAAAAATTCGAAAAGACTGGTGAGTGATATGTAAATATTATTAAATACTTATTTATTTCGCGCCATTGTATGTTATTTATAATTTTAAATTTACTTTACCGTTATAAATATAAGCAAATTGATTTAAAACTACATTTTTGTTTGTTTGAATATACTTATGCTTGGTTTAATGTTAACTGGGCATTTTATTTCGTATTTTGTTAATATTAATACAGTAAACTAGCTCTTATACTTGTGGAGTATGAAAATGATTTGTACACTATTCAAATGCAATCTTTTATGTTATTATTTTATAGTTATTCATTTTATTAAGGTAAATATTATAACGTTTTTAAATCATATATGTTTATCGATGTTTGTTTTTTATAGACTTAAAATTATAATACTGATCATTGTGTGAATAATCTTAAAATACGATGCCATCGCATTGGTTATTCGCACTTTCAATTTTGAATTTAATGAAACATTTTATATCAACCATGTATATGAATGAAATTATAATATTATAGGTGCTTTGAAATATTCAATTTAAAAATGAAATGAAGATTCGTAAATTATGTATATTTCAAACTATTGTATAATTTTATGCATTTACTATTCATATTTAATTGATATTTATTGGTCTATTATCGTATTAAAAATTACATATTTATGTCATCAAATAATTAGAGATATTACTACTTTATTAGTTTCAAACCTGTTGCTTACTGAATACAAGTATTGTTGTAAATACAAAGAAAAAATATGAATTTTATTGTCTTTGTGAAGACTAATAAAACTATAAATGGTTTATTGAAAAGTCACACGCAATAAAATAATCGTTACACTTATGTTTCTCGAGTGAATGTAATAGATTAAATAAATATAAAAAGTACGAAATATATGAATACAAAGGTATTTAATATTATTTTTAAACAAATAAATATCGGAATTTAGTCTTTGACTTTCCCAGAAAAAAAAATAGTTGGAATATATGAAAAATGTATCGTTTTATTTTGCAAAGAAATCTTTTATTTATGTGCTTAAATGTGTAAAATGTACTGGAGACTATAAAATATATTTTTTATGAACGGTATAGAGTTGTTATGACGTATTGTTCAGAGCTTTTGGCCTGCACATGATAAGAAGTATTGTCTAATATATTTTCTTTATTGTGATTCATAGTCTTTCGTATACTTATAAGTTATTGTAAACATTATCCATCGAAGGAACTCCCGGTGGTTTTTGGCATAGTTCCTGAAAAAACTGGAAACTAAAGCTTACCAAAAAGACGTCTTAAAAGACTAATTAAGTTTCTTCATCCTTTGTTTTTTATATTGCACTCTGTTCCGACTGGACAGAGACGGAGAATAAAACTCACTACTCGACAGAAATTAAACATTTCCACAACTTTAATTTCGGAACCAACCGCATTTTACCCACTTATCAGAATTAAATCCTCCCAGGAATTCTGTTGGCTGCCATTTCCGTAGACAAAAAAAAATTAAAATTAAATTAAAAACGTGACGGGCCGTTGTTAAAGAAAAAAATTATTATTGAAAGTTATTATGTGATATTTGAAGTTTAAATGTGTGTTAAAGGCATGGCTAAAAGTCATAAAATGTGTTTTGTCATTGGTAAGTATTATTTTTTGTAACCAGATTTAGTACTTACCTAAAAATTCAAATGATTATGCTATAATATAAAAACATAAGTATTAAATTTCTAAAACACTACAGAAAAATAAAATATTATATGCATTTATGACACTGTTTTTTCCCTAAATTGATGTTATACGAGAGGTCTGGACTTGGACGTTATTAGAGTAGTGTGTATGAAATATATTTTACATAAAAATATGTAAAATATTTTTTAAGTTATGAAAAAAGTTGAATGTTTAAGTGTATAATATTTTATCTTGTTCACTTTGGCGCACACAGAATTCCATTTTTGTTTTTATTTCAAGCACACAGTCAAATATTAGATGTAACAAAATAATAAATAACAGCAGTATAGTAACTTTATGCACCTCCGTGTTACGAGCAATAAATCATTTATTGGCAGAAAAGCAAGTAAAAAGGTAAAATAAATCGAAGTTTGTTTTGTTTTTGTTAAATTTAACAATAACAAAGGGCCAGTTCAACTGTTAAATCATTGTAAACATTCCAGTTGAATATTCAATATATATCATATGCTATATTTAACAAAAAACTCCCATAATATTATTTTGAAGTGTATTGTACTGAGACTGTTGGTTGTATAATGTATTTAACTAGGTACGTGTAGAGGTCATTGCATTTAAAGGGTGTTCCATTAAACTTAAAAAGCTACTTTTTTCTATAAATATTTAATTTGATGTGTTTTTATTTGTTAACCTATTTAAACATTATTATAACACATTTTAAATAATATATTCCTCTATGGATAGATTTACGCGAGTAAGTTATATTGACTTTTAATTTTGAAACTAACTTAAGCTTGATACTTTATTGACTTCATATTAAAGTAGGAAATATTTTTCTTAAAGTTTTGATGTATGTACAATGTACACGTTAATTAATTATAGATATTTTGAAGTTTTGATGAGAGATTAGGTAAATTCAAACATATATATATATATTATTGATTTGTTACATATATACACTCTACTTCTCCTGTCTAAATTCTGATTGATTATTATTATAAGTTAATTATTGCGTTGTGCTTATAGCTGGATATTTTATTTATATTATATTATGTATTGCGTATATTATGTTACTATCGAATTTATCAAAAAAATTTACTTTGAAGCAAAATGTATTAAGTAAAAATATATTTATAGCATACTTACAGTACTTATGCCTATAGTTTGTAATTGTAATTAATATTATTTTTATGTTTGAAAAGAGCCATTAATAAATACGAAAAATTGTATAAAAAGAAGGCCTGTTTTAAAATATAGTTAGTGGCTTACAGTTATTGGATTATTTTATAAATACATATTTCTAAAATAATGTAAGCTTAAAATTTATGTTTTAAGTGTTCGTGTTCCTTGTTACATATTATCAAGAGTTTAGTTCTGGAATTTATTTATGTTTGTGATAATAATTTAACAATTTAAGTATCTCGAATGGAAAGACTATTATTGTATTCTTGTTAATGATAAAATAAATATTTTTTTACCATTTTTCAAAAAGATTAATAAAAAAAAATCGACTTTGGAAAATCGATTAGTATACTATTAACACTACACCATTTATATGAAAATAATATTTTAAGCTCTGTATCAAAGATTAAATACATGAACGAGAATGATTAATTTTTTAAAATACGATTTATAAAACCGATAAAATAATTTAACCTGTCTTATAAAAATAATATTATTTGTGTGATTTTCTAAAACTATAGCTAATATTACAATTTTATGTTTAATAATTGTTTATTCATAAAGTATGACGAGGTTGTATCATTCAGTTTGTGCTCATCGATGAACTTCAAAATATAATACTGCAGAATTAATCTGTTTTAATTAAGTTATATCTCGAGAATTCTATTAATATAATAAAGTGGAAATAGTTTTGGCAAAATAAATTCATTAATTCTTATTCTTTATGCCTGCATTAAAATATATTTTAAAATTGAAGCTTAATTTAGGTTTACACTGTTTTACACTGGTTTACACGGGTTTAATATATATTTAATTCGTTGTGATATCCTTTTTAATCTATTTTTTGAGGGTAGGTATTATTACAGTGACTATAGGAGTAGAATTTTTTTTAAATTTTAATGCATCAATATGATTATGTCCAAGGCCTTGTGTTTTGGTACTTCGGTCGTACAATATTACAAGGTAATTTAGGTGTCTCATTACTGATTAATTAGGACTTTATAATTTAATTTCAACTAGCCATGGCGTGCAGTTTTTATAACTATAGTTGTAATCCTATTTTCTCGTCATAAAAATCCATAGTGTGAAGACGTACTATAATTATTAAACTTTTTAGTTATGCCAAACCATCCACAATTGTTGGATACCGTACCATGTTGATAGGTTTATATGAACTAAACCCGTTGTCGACGTATTATATTTTGAATATTCGATCGTTTGGGATCGGATCGAATCGGATCTGCTGGATCTGCCTGACAGACGGACAGATTTTAATAGATCCTTTTATTTTTAATATCGTTGTTGTCCGCTCAAATTATTATTATTATTATTATTATTATTATCCATCTTGTTTTAGGTGATCCAAAGGCCATTAAAATATTGAACCGAGCAACGAAATAATTGGGCGGTGGCCGCCGCCGCCGATCGCTCCGGTCGTCCTTGTCGTGGACGATGACGTACCAGGACAACTGGTGCACCGGGGCGGACCATCGGGTGGCCAGTGCGTGTGCTGATAGCGTGCGACGAGCGGGAAAACAGCGCAAACAGCAACGACCTCGCCGCCAGGGGCAACGACAGCGGCTGCAGCAACAGCTGAGGCAACAGCGGCGGCAGCGGCAGCAACAGCAGCAACTGCAGCAACTGCAGCAACGGTGAACGATTGGGGGGCCACCGTGCAATGGCGACGCCCCCCGACAGCCCGATCATCGAAGAGGCGACACTAATCGAGCTCGAGGAACAGCTGAACAACACGTCTGCGTTTCCGCACCCTAGGCCCGTCGCCCTAGAGGACCTGTGCCGACAGACCAAGTTCACGAGACAAGAGATCCGCATCATGTACAGGGGATTTAAACAGGTCGGTGGCGATTTCCTATGTTTTTTTTAATTAATCGTCAGTCAATCGTCGGGTAATCGTTTCGTGGCCCTCGTACGTTCGACGACCTACTTGAAATTCCAACTGATTTTTTACCCGATTTATACATATACGGAAAACTCAACTGAAAACGAAATCGTTTTAATAATATATTTTTTTTTTCACGAGTGATGTATAAGATTATTTGATAATTAAAATAATAAATTAGAGTGGAAAAATTCACGTTTTGGGGAAAATGTCAGGCACGGGGTGACACTTTCCGAATTCGCTGTAATTGAGTACTCCATCCCCATCCACCCCCATCCACTCACCAGCACATGATAAAAATCATATGAAAATATATTATTTATTCTCATAGGTTATTATTTGACCATGTGTGCATAATAACAATATTAAAATTTTTAATCACAATGTGAAATTTGGTACAAACGATAAGTGCAATTATTATTTATTTTGCACGTACAATAAGACGTATGTGAGTATTGAAATTTAGATATCCAATGAAGTCGAGCGTATAACAGTTCCAACGAGACGTAGTCCGAGTAGTCTTAAACGTGTCGTATGTTTTGGAATAATTAATACTATATTTTCTTACAATTATTAAAATTATTGTTTGTTATAAATAACGAGCATATTTCCACGTAATTGCAAGTGGGTTTCTTTTTTGCCATAGTTATGATATTTGGTTTTATTTATTTATGATTGTCCTTGAGATCTAACGATAACTCTGCTAACCTTAAAAAGCTTGTTTTATGAGTTATGAAATATTTTTACTTGTATTTGTAAAATATACAATTAACACTGACCATGTTGTATAACGAGTACCTAACCTACTTTTATTCAGTTTGATATTAAATATAATAAAGGTTTAAAGTAGGTTATGCAACTATAACAGTTATAGGTAGTACTGCCTATATACTAGTATTATCCAAAATACCTACTGTTATAATGAAAAATCAAAGTTTTCCATAAAGTATCAATAATATTGTTGGTTTGACTATACCGGCATAATATGAAGAACGAAGGTACTGGGAACAATAACATAACAATATTACGCATAATGTAATCATAGTGTAATCACAATCAAATATTTAATAAACGTGGACGGTTGTTTTTTCTCTGTGCTCAGCTTAATACTAAAAAGTATGTTATATTTGTATCCTTAGTGGAAGACTTTTTTAATGAAATGTTCCACCCGTCACTATTACTATCCCCTAGTAACCAATACACTTATTGCATTATATCTAATGGATATTGTGTCTATATAATATGTTTAGTATTACGATTTTATTGGAGTATATTAAACCAAAAACAATTACAAAACCTAAATGAAAATAAATAATAATGCATCGTATCTTTGTGACATCATGATTTGAGTTACTTTTAACAGGGATATTTATAATTTTAATTAATAATTATTATTTTACGGTACGCGTGATTTTAATTTTACACGGGCTTACTTAACTTGTGTATATAACAATTTTTTTGATGATGTTCTTTTGAAAGCAGAAGTGGCCGACTAATCTCGAACATCATTGGACGACGTGTCGGTTCATTAATACGCTTAATTAGCGGTCATGACAGTTACTTTTATACTGTTTCACTATGCGAGTGTTTAGTACTAATGATGTTTAATCAAGTAGCTGTACGTCGTTCATTTTCACTTTTAAGTGCATAGGGTGTTGTTGGTAGGAAGGGAGACGGTACTGCCCTCGTCATTTTTCACTGGTAGGTGTTAAGTCGTGGTATTCACATGGGAAAACTATGATGTTACAAATGTCTGCGTTATTTTCTGTCAAAAGAACCTATAGATTCCCATTCTCATTTTGTGTTGTACTGTTTAGTTCGTTCTTTCAAAAGGAAAAAAAGAAAACGAGAAAAAGAGTAACTGTGTGGAAAATAATGTAACATTTTTAACGAGAGAAAAAAGATATTGCCGACTGAAAATGACTCCGAGTCGGGTAATTAACATTTTAATGCTCGAAAAATCTCATTCGACAGAATTTTAGGTTCTTAGACAGTGGCAAAATAAAATGAAACAGTTGTAATAGCTTATTATACTATTTTTTGGTGATTATTATTAGTTTAACAACTTTAAATATGTACCAAATGCTCTTAGTTTGTCTTTCTAAAATTGATAAGAATTATTCTTAGGATTTAAACTTTATTTAATAGTATTTTGGATTGGTTATGTTTTGAATATACACTTATATACATTTTAAATGATTTTATTTCCAATTATTTGATATAGTTCAGTTTAAATTAAATTTAGTTAATATTAAACATAAATTAGTCAGATTTAATTTAATCAGAGCTTTATATTTCATTATTTTTGGTATTTCATAATACATTAATTTGCTTAGTATAATATTACCGCACGCTTTTATCTTAGGCTTAAATTTCATGGATTTTTCTTGCAAACAATTATTTTATGTAAAAATATTTATTGTAAAATAATTACAATAAGAAACATAACAAAATACCATTAATATTAAAATTGGTATTTCGTAGTATTATTAATTTCTGTATTCTTAAATATTGGAAATTAAAAGCTGATTGTAATCTATGAACAGCTTATATTCGCTTACCTGTTTTTCGATTAATTATTACATACTTATGAGTTATGACCCATACTACATTATTATTGCAATCCACTGTTTCGAGCTCCTATTTTACTTCACTTGATATAATTATTAAGTTAATACTTTAATAGTTTATTAGTTTTTAGATTTAAATTACAAAATATATTGCTTTGTTGAACATCGATAATTTTAAGGAACACAACAAATTACTAATGAGATTTTAATGTAGTTTTATAATCTATTAGATATGAAATATTCTATTTGATGGCATTTTTTTTCTTAAAAAAACTAAATTTGATTGTGTCCTTTTTATAATAAAATATATTATACGTATTTACCCATACATTTCATATTAATCTTGAAATTTTCATAGCATAACACATTAACACGCCCTTTAGATTTCTTATTTTGTGTACACTGAAAATATGTACAACTGACAGGTAAACATAATATACATTCATAAATCACGAAAACAACTCGGGTATAACATTGTGTAAAGAATAAGAATACATATGTTTAAGTAATAAAGTGTGTGAGATATATTTCCATATCATAAACTAACAATATTTTCTAATAATTTATTTGTTCATGTATTTTTCGTGATGTTTGAAATTTTTTATTTGTACGATTATGCTGTGTTACACTATACTACCCATGTATTTGTTTGGTGACACTAAGTACGATACATACAATTTTTTTGGAATACTTACTACAACTCGAATGTAATTATACTTCTGTAGGAAATATTTAAGATTTAGAATACAATTAATAGGTATATTTAATAAAAGTTCTGCAATGTGATTTATTATGATGAATGTACATTTTTTTTTGGGATGGGGAATTATAGTTTCCATGAACCCATCCGACTAATCGGACATAATTAATGAATTGCCTTATACATTTCTGCGTGTATATCAGTACTTTTTAGATATATAGATAATAAACTTTATATGCGAGTACGTGACTATACATAATGAATAGGGTCGGGCATTTGTATGACTTTTTTTTGTACCCTAAAACATTACTGCCCTAGTGCAAAATTTCAATCATGCCACATCGAGAGTGGCTTTTCATATCAAAATGATATTTTTACTATGCATATACAAATACTAATGTATTGTGGAATATAAAATGCCTGTTAGCTATTACAATATACATGACATAAATGGCATAGTAAAATAGAAAATAGAAAAATTTCTGCTTAAAAATATCTGTAATGTTCAGGTCATGTTTTATTGTATTCTAGGTAGTTTCACAGTAATTATGTGTGATATTATTTTTGTTAATTTCGTTTTTTATTTATTTAAAAATTAGTACAGAATAAGCATGAAATGGTGGTAAAAACGATAAAAAAACGGATTTAAAAAAATTTGTTTTCTTAAACCTAAATTATGAAATGCATAAACCAAATATCATAGTTCTGCGATATTGGGAAAACCATTTTACGATCGTAATATGACGCAGTGTAGCTATAAAGCCTACCTCGAACGCCGTGTGACCATAATTTTATAATTAAAATTCATTTATATTTTACTTAATATTGGACAATTTATTTTATTTTGAATTTTTATTTGTACGAATGTATGGTTAAGTTTTTTTTTTTTTGATTAGTATCGTTATATTTTTGTAATTACATAATATAATCTATATTCTTTATTATTTGAAAACAAAATCATTTAAAGTAATTCGTGAAACAGAACAACAATATATTTTCCATATCTACCAATATCTGTCAATTTATCCGTAACACACGGGGCATGGTAAATTTTGTTTCTTGAAATAAAAAGTATTAACTTAAAACTGTAACTGGAGTATAAGAATTCACTAGATACACAACTTTAAGAGCAGAACTGTTTCTATGATTTTATGAAAATATAATTTTCTTTATACTCATTGGAACTTGTATATGTGTTATAAGGCACTGAAATATTATTTTTTATATTCTATAAATACCTGACTATACGGTATTATAATAAGTTAAAGTAATTTTTTTTCTAGTTATAAGCCTAAAGTTTTGATTTTACTGAACCGGAGTTGGTTGTAATATTACACCACGAGTGAAAGACAACGATGACAATCTTCAATCTTGGCGGCACAAGTGCCGTCCATTTTACATTTTATAATTTATCTATGTTCGTGGATTTAATACACAGTAGTAACATCAAAAATGTCCTTCATAGTTTGCTTCATCATAATAAATCGTACTGCAATCAAATGTTATATATATTTTGTGGTTGGTTAACATAATTGTACAAGGTTAAATTATTAAACATGATATGAGCTAGCAAAATGATTTGGATATAACTAAAATGCAACTAATATTATATAAAATTTGAAAATTCTTAAGATTTAAAAAATAGTTAAAATAAAAAATAGTGGGCTTTTAGGTCATTTGAAAGT